TGTTTTTATTTGTTTTCTCAAATTCTAATAAGAATCTGAAGATGATGATCAACCAAATGATGCTTGTTTTATGCGGTTGCATCACTTTTTTTTTTTGGATTTTTTTTTTTTTTTTTGCTTTTTCGTACGGGGACGTACAAGACGTATAGGTTCCCGTACAGATCCTGTACAAAAATTACCTGTACGTTCCGTATGGAAAACCCCCGTACATGTACTCTATGCAACGTAGCCTTTCCCAGACTCACGGTCGCCACTAGCTACTCCTCCCTCAGATTCGTCGAGGGGTAACTTCTCTACGGTCTCATCGTCAAATACCACAAGCATGTGGTCCTGGCGCTTTTGCTGCCAAAGGACCCATTTCTGTCACCCACCAACTGGTCTTGTCTTAACTACGAATGCATACGTCTCTTTTATCTGTGCAGTCATTTGCTCCCTTTGGAGCGCGAGGTCACGAAACTGTCGGTAGTTATACTTGTCAGATTTGGCCTCAGTCACAAGATGTCCTCGAATGGGTTCTGACAAAGCTCGCAAGAAGATGTAAAGGACTTGGTTGTCGTGCAGGTTTAATCTAGGTACCTACAACTGATGATCAACCTCACGAGATAGCGCATCTACAGAGGTCCAACGTTTTGCCCTGTGGTGGTGAGCTCATCGAAAGCCTTGTCGGTCGTCGTCTTATCCAAAAATCTTTCCTTGATCTTCTGGAGAAATTCTCGGAGAGTCAGGGTCTTTGCCTACTCACTGATGTCCTCGAACCCAACAGCGTTGGTCTCGGACAATACCCATTTCTTGGAGGTTTCAACAAGACAAGAAGTCGAAAAAGCCACTTGGCTTTCCGACTCTACTGGTGCAGTCTCACAGTATGTTTGGATCTCAACAATCAAGAGCAATTGTTACACGTGTTCGCCCCTCTTTCCGGTGTAGGTAAAAGGAAGTTTCATCTTAACCTTTTCTTTCTTCTTTGGTTTCTCTACCTCTTTGACCGCTTCTTCCTTTTTGGCGGGTTCTACTTTCTTCTCGGCCGGTTCCTCGGATTCTTTCTTCGAGGATCCGGGTTTGTCTTGCATCACCTTCGATATTACATCTTTCAAAAGTTTCTCTTGGGGTAGTTTCTTTTCTTCTTCCCCTTTCATCTCCTCCACAAAACTCCCCTTGTCCTTACCTTTCATTATTCTCATCATAGTTTCTAATGAGACAGTGTTAGAGTCTATTCAAGCCATGATAGATTGCAATACAGATGACATATCAGTCTCAACTTCCTCAAAGTGAAACCGTTCCCTCATTTTCTCCAACATTTTATCTTGCTGTTCTCTCTCTTTTTTCCTTCTTCGGAACTCTTCAATCTTTCTTCTCTCTTCCCTTAAGGTATTTTACTATTTTCTAATTGTCTGACATTCTCCTCCATACTTCCACAGACGATTGTGGATCTACTTTCTTTTCTTTCTCCTCTTCTATTATTTTCTTTCTTTCTTGTTCCAGTTTGTTAAATCCCTCAGGGACATACCGTTCAAGGGTCATTCGTCCTTTCTTAATGAGATCCTCCACTCTTTTGCCGGTTTCCATCATCTCAACGGCGGTTTCAGCAGCGTGCAACTCTTTTTCTACATCAAGCAGATTGAGCTGTCTGTGAACGTGTCGTTCAGCGTCCAGACCAACAACGTGTATCTCACCAAGCAACTGGCGGAGAAACCCAGTTAAAGTTTGTCTTCTTGATTCAAGTTGACCCCGAGTTTTCAATTTTTAATTTCTCCCCCTTCAGCATCAGCATAGACTATGAAAGGGATAGGGAAGAAAATAAGTGGAATGAACCGCGTCAGGATGGAGGCACGCAGACTATTCCAGAGAGAATTCATTTTCCTACACGTGTAGATACCGCACAATAAATAAAATCAAAAGACAAAATTAAATTCCACAACACACGCAACTTCTACAACAAGAATAATCAACAAAGAAATGAGTTCTCAATCAATTTCTCAATCCTAACTTTGCTGTCTGTTTTTTGTGTGATGACGTCCTACAGTTACAGGTATCGCAGCCACGGCCAGTGTGATCAAGACAACAACACACTTGTAAGTACACACAGCAACCACAGATAATCAACAGGTAAGTAAAGAGCCAACACAACCACACAATCAATGGTTAGCCTCTTTTCTACCATCTGCAGAAGCAATACAATCATCAACAACAAGTGCACCCTCACACTCTCAGCAGCCTGTGTACATGTCACATGTCACCCGTGGCATGCCAATGCAGCAGTACTGCCACCGTGCCACGTCAGCATCAAGGACAGGGACAGTCCACAAGGAGGGATGCCAAGTTGCAATGAAGGTCTACTATACACTCAACACTAGTATGCCACGTCAAACGCAACATCAGCAGACAACAACGACACAGGTACGTGCCACATCAGACCATGCCCTGCATTCTATCATATCATTCATATGCCACATCAGCGGTACTAGTGCCACATCAGCCTGTTGCCAACGAAGATTTCGCCGATATAAGTCTTCAATGCAGCCACGTCATCATCTTCAACAGACAGCTGCTCGCACGTGCAATATTACAATGTATAGACTTGCGGTATTTACCGCACGCGTTAATAAACATGTTTCATTTTGCACATGCGGCACTTCCCACTTACCTGGGTGCCATGTCAGCACCTAACAGCAAACAACAAATTGTGATGAAGAAGTTTAACTTAGCTCCGATACCAAATTGCAATGAACCCAGTCGAGAAGATACTCAGAAGTCTTCAAACACAAATAGTCTCAGTACCTGCAACAAAGTCTCCAAATCGTGAACTGATAAATCAAACAATAACTCATTATCATTAGACGAAGAGAGTGGAGGGGGATTAGACAGAGGAGAAGGTGGAAGAGATCATAAAATATCACAAAAGAGTTATGCCATCAAACCCCTCTCCTTCTCCGGACTTCTTTCCTCTCCACCTCAACAACCAGAAGATGATAACAAGTATAATAGTCCTGATCACACACAGTAGTGCCACGTGGCACTCCTACTCCGTGAAGACCATGAAAACACAACAGTTGCCGCACGTTTTTCCTCTTCCCGAAACCGGTCGGACTTCCAGTCGTCTATGAGGCCCCACTCGCTGAGCTGTCGTCTTCGTCGTTGCCATCTCCAGCGGCATCCCCGTCCCCCACAGATTCCGGAGTCACCGACTGAGCAGATGAGAGTTGCACACCTCCTGCGCCACCGGTGTCTGCAACATTGCTCAGGCTGATAGTGTGGCTCCTCTCCTTCGCCCCTTTGATCTCCTCGTAGACGGCCCGATCCATGTTGAAGCTGAATCCTTTCTCTGCCCTCTGCTGACTCGTCAACTGGAAGAAGTCCTCCTTCCCTGACATGCCATGAAAGTGTGGATCTTTTCGAACTGTTGTATGAGATTATCCCATTTCTTCCCGCATTTGTCTGCCGTCCTGTCAACACCGACCTTCAGCAACCTCTCCCAGACGTCCAAACATTCCACTCCCTCGACCGCATCCGTGCGAATGCGTGGCCTGCCGCTTGTAGCTGGTCGTCCTGATCCCGCTTCGCCCTTACGAGGGCCACCATGTGATCCACAGACCAGAAATCCCGGCCACCCTCCCCATCCCCCTCACCTTCCGCATCAGCAGAGGTCGCCGACGGCCTCTTCCGCCTCCGCCCAGCATTCGTCGAAGCCCTGCCTTTGCCGCCCCTGCCACCCATGTTCGGCGCACGCAACGGGAACACATCACCACTGTCGTCCTCCTCAGCGTCACACTCAACTTCGTCACCGTCTGTCCAGATGTCACCCCCCCCGCCAACCGCGTGCGGTTGCCCGGCCCGCTCGCCCATACGTAATCGATGCACACCTTGCGTTATGGACTCTTCTTGCTGCCGCCGCAACTCCTGCCTCGACTCCTTCCATACCCGCCTGCCATCTCCACGCGCGCCCTCGAAAGGGAAGTCTTCCGCACTCACACCCCGTTCAACTGGACGAGGAACGGTGTTGCGGCCCCTGGAGAACGTAGGAGGGGGGGTCATCCACTCAGGGCGACCAGCGGTGGTGCGTGGAATTGACGGGCCAGAAGTCGCCTGCACTCGAGGCCGCTCCCTCGTCTTCTCGGACGTCTCCGGAGGCGCAGAACCACCCCTCGTGCCCCTGCCGACCAATGTCACCTGCCCCGCGTTGTCGTCGGGATGAGGGTTCACGAGCACAGTGCGCGTGGGAGAAGCTGGGCTCCCGCTCCGCAGGCCAAATGTGAGATCCACAGGGGGAAGGCGTTCCTCTTCCTGGGCACCTTCGTGGAGGAGGGAAGTGAACGACTGCCTATACTTCGCTCCGCGCCGATGAAACAACAGGCTACCCGTCCATTCCTGGGTCGACCCGCTACCCAGCGGAACTGTGTTGGACATGTCCATGTCCGTCTCCCCCTCGTCCGAATCGGGCAGAGGCTGCATGTGAGGCGGGAGTCCTTCGTACGGCGACGGACCTGCCGCCCTTCTGTCTACACCGGTGCAGATCGCAGGCCGGTGGCTGGGATAAGTGTCGGACAACGTGGCAACATTCGGCCGCCGCCGTCCATGGCCACGCTCTTGCTCACCCCTCGTTTCCTGCGAGTACGTGAAGGCAACCTCCCCAATATGCACACCTGAACAAAGACGACAACTACAAGCAGAATCACGACGAGGAGGACCAGCGGCAACTTGCGGAGCACGTCGGCCATGTAACACAACCGTTCTCGCAAGCACAAACTAATGACGACAACGCGCGACAACGTAAACGTCTACCCAGACGGCGGCAAACAGCAGGCGTGCGTGGGCACGACTGCCGACGCCCTCTGCCGCTTTACATTGTGGACCACTGCGCGCGGTGACGGACGTACGCCGCTGTCATTTTCGAAACGGCTGGCCGTTGGAGGCCTTCCCGTTTCCCGCCGGCGCTGGTGAGGGGCCGGGATAAACCGGCAACGGCCAGGGACCCCGTCCGCCACCCAACCTTACCGTTGCTGTCGATCCTGCCGGAGTCGAACGTTGCCGGCCGCTAATGTCCGCCCGCACCTCGGTTGGACCAGCAATGTACCAGACTACAAAATTTTGACGTCGTCGAAGAGCGCCGCCGCCGTCCCGAATTTCGCGGAAACTCCCACTCCGAGGGACCTCGCGAGGTACCTTGGGGAGCACAGCCAAATGCCTGTAGCCCGAGGACGGCCCGAGGATGCCCCGAGGAAATGTTTTCACATCGGTTTCCAAGGAACTCTCTCTGAGGACAGATGGAACGATCATTTCCTCGGGATTTTTGTGCGCCCGAGGAGTGTCTAGTGAGCCCCTTAATCTATGGAATTGTGTTATGTGTTAGCTTGAACTCCCTTTGTGTTTGTCACTGGACTGTTAGAGTCAGTTTGAGTCAGTTTTGAGTGTCATCTTAGTTTGTTTTATCGTGTAGTAGGTCCATTTGAGTCAGTGTGAGCAGTTTGTGTGATGTTTCATGTTCTTATTGTTCGTGCGCACATAGCCCGCACCGCCCCCACCACGGGTGCTAAGATAGTTGTCATTATGGTATTCCGAGGAACCCCGTAGCAGCCACATCCGTGTTCAAGGCTCCAACGAGGGAGCATGCTGGAGCTGCACCCAACAGCAGGTGCATGCTGGAGCTGCACCCAACAGCAGGTGCAATACCTGCTACAGCAGGTGGGCGATACTGGCCAAGGGTCAGCCAGTAGCATCAAGACCGAGCTTCTTCGATGGGCCAGCCGCTGTGCCTCCCCTCCTGTTCCCTCCCCCTATGAACATCAGCAGTGTCTGCTCAATGCCAAGGAGGGGGAACAACGGCCTATCTCTAGGTGGCGGGCGCTAAGCTTGCCCAAGAAGATATATGAGGCCAATAGGGATTGAACCCAAGACTACCTGAATGCCATGTGCATGCCTTACCAACTGAGCTAGGCCGCTGGATACCAAGTTGAATTGTGAGGTATCCGGCGACTTCCATTTATTTTCGGTATGTCCCTCCGACGCCCGACTTACCCTGTTGTGCCCCTGGGGCCTCTGAAGTTTCCTGCATGCCCCTGTCAGTGAAGGGAGCGAAGTTCCAGCATACCCCTGTGGCCGTAGGTGGCACTCGAGGCCGTTTCCCTGGCCCTGGGAGGGGAGCTACCAGGGCATACTGGAAATTTGGAACCGGTACCGGTAAGGACAATAGTGGACATATTTTACCCCCGAACAACACCAGGGATTTTTTGGAAGGTGCGACAGGGTAAGTCGGCCGCCGGAGGGGCATACTGCAAATAACCGGAAGTCGGAGGGGCACTTCAAAAGTTTTCCCTTTTTCAGTCCGATGGACCACTGATCTGAACAGATACCACAGTAACCACACTTGAACTTAGCCTAAAGGCGTATCTCCTAGCAGAATGCCACTGAGGAACTCAAGGTACAACCTAATGCATAGGCCGAGGGGTTGGTTGTGGAGGTGGCTGTCAAGTTGGATGAGAAGTTGGCTGCCGGATGTAGAAGTGAACAGGGCTGGCTGTCTGATCTGCAGCTGGGGATGAGTTTGGCCAAAAACAACCTTGCCCAGCCCTGCACGGGTGCAAATATGTGAGGGATGCGGGACCCATTTCCGGCAATAATGGAAAGCAAAAAAAAAAGGCCTATCTCCTTTGTTTTGGTGGAATTTGAAGATGAGTGAGAAGAAGGGGTTGCTTTGTGACATAGGGGCTCGTTCGACACTCCTTGCGGACATGAAATCCACAAGGACGCGCTCGTTCCACCTGTCCTTGAGGACGAAATTGAAAAAGAAATGTGAAAACTCCACGAGGAAAATTCTTTGTGGCATCCTTGTGGCCCCAGCCATTTCTTCCTTGTGCCCAAGGGACCTCGCGAGGTCCCTCGGGCACAAGGAATCCGCGTTTCACGGAGAGGAGAGGGCACACGGGTAGAGAGACGTTACAGCTTAGAATCTAGATCGTGGCGGCACCCTATTGGCTGAAGGCCTGAAGCACAACTGTTTTTTTTTTTTTTTCATTTTTTTTCTTACGTCAGTCTTATGAAATGTCCTCGGGCGACGTCCCCGAGGACAGGTGGAACGAAGAGCCCAAATTCCCTTGGCGCAAGGAACTCGTAAGGAGTGTCTAACGAGGCCCATAGTCGTGGCCCTGGCTCTGCTTGGCCGGAGAGCCTTGCTCAGCCTGTGTGCAGCGGAGAACTTTGTGAGGGACGCCGGGCGCTATTCCCGGCTTGTTATAAATGATTAATCCTTTTTCAACAAAAAAAAAAGAGGGGAAAAGGCCGAGAAAGGTATTGAAATCACGTTCCGGTGCAGCGCCGTTTTGGATATGTTGGTCCAGCAGATATACGGGTTCTCCGGGCCTAGGAGCGTGGGCCTACGAGCCGTGGGCCTCTGCGTCCTTGGGCTCAAACACTCACCCGACAGACCAAACCCGCTTGTGACTAGGCACCGTGGGCCTGTGAGTGCTTGGGCTGAATTCACCCCAGGCACTGAAAGTGTCCGCTATCGGGTAAGCCTCTGCGTGCTTGGGCTCAAACAGTCACCCTACAGACCAAACCGACTTGGGACTAGGCCCCGCGGGCCTCTGAGTGCTTGGGCTGAATTCACCCCAGGCACTGCAAGTGTCCGCTATCGGGTAATGATAGCGGCCCAGTGCCTACTGGTACGGGTCGATATCGGTTACGGGTGCTGGAGGGGAAAAGTCATAAAACCTCGCCGCGACGAAACCTTCGTATCCATTTCCCCCCAAACGAGAAAAAAAGTGCCTAAGCCCGCACCTCTACGCAAACACGCACAGATTCGTCCGCAACAACTCTCTCTCCCTCTCTCTGAGTCTGTGTTTGTGTCTGTGTTACCTGCTATAGTGCACGCGCCCCACACAGACTGACGCACTGAGAGAGAGCGAGAGGAGGGAGAGCCAGAGAGAGAGAGAGAGAGGCGTAGCAGGACCACATGCCACTTGGGGCACGCTGCCACTTCGCGCAATGCACGCAGTATGTGTGCCACGTGGCAAGTGGTGCTGCTACGTCTATCCCTCTCTCTCTATATATGTGTGTGTTGTCATATTCGCTATACAGTAGTATACATTAAAAAAAAGCATGACTGTGCCGGACTGTTTCGTCGGCCTGCGTCACTGTGTGTGTGTGTGTGTGTGTGTGTGTGTGTGAGAGAGAGAGAGAGAGAGAGAGAGAGAGAGAACGTGTTTGCGGATAGGTGCAAAAAGTCGGGATTATGCACATCTCCACAAAAACGTCTAGATTTAGGTGCAAAATATCACAGGAATCTGGACGTCTGTGTGGAGAGGTGCAATATCGCGATTTTTGGCACCTATCCCCAATCACGTCCTCTCTCTCTCTCTCTCTCTCTCTC